ATTACTTCATAAAAATTTCAGTTAATATTTTGTCTTATGGACTGTAGGTAAACATCTGCTATGTGAAACAGCTTATTCAGGACAGCACTACTAAATAAAAATAAATGTTCTTTTTAAAACGAATAACATTTTAATATAAAAAAAATCAGAATATTTTCAGAGATCTCTGGTTGCGGCTATCAATGAAACGGAGCAAAAAGTAGCACAGAGTTTAAAGGATGGAATTCAGCTCGCCTTTGAGGTACTATGAACACCTTATTGTTGTCTGAATTGTGAATAATACGTCTGTTCTGAGGTACTGAAACCGTCTTTATGTTTCAGAGAGCAAATGAAAACCTTGATAACATGAGTAAACTAGAGATCAAAGAAATGCATTGGCTGAAAAAACAGGTGTGGTCACATTTTAGGTTCTATTTTACATGCATCTTATTGTACATGCAAAGATTACACAATGCCGCTAATCGTCCATATCAGGTTCCCCTATATAACGAGAAGGTCGCAGTGTTGGAATCCACTGTCCATAAGTTAGAAGAGGAGATCTTGGATCTCGTTTCCCTCAGCCCAGGCAATGAGTTTCTTGCGCAATCTGCTAGCCTTGGGTCCCATGATACCCACAATATGGACAGGAACATAATGAAAATAAGCCCTGAGGAAACATCAGGTAATCCAAACATGCCTAATAATAGCAGTGATCAGTCTAAGAATAAAAATAATTAACTGAACACATGGTGCTTTATAATTATTTTGCATTGACATTTTATAACCAATAGATGGCACCATAACAGTAGACATACTGAAACACTAAAATACCAGGAGAAATCCCTCAATGATGGTTGCTTGCTAGTGCTGGACCCTTAAATTCAAGAGTGAAGGAAATTCTAGGTCTGTTATTTCTTCTATTTGGATAGTAATCATTTTGAATTATTAGCAAAATATATGTTCACATTCAGTCTTATTTGTAAGCCTAATATGTTGAAAATGCAAAACATTTATCTCGTCACATTCTGTCAGAATTACATGACTCATACAAAACTCCCAATTACAGATTCTCCTGAAAATGACTGGATTTTATCTGCAAAATAAAAAGCTAAAAGACCATAGAATTTTTTTTTCTAAAAGCCCATAGGAAATACTCTAACCCACGGTTTCACAGACAGACAAGGCTTAAGCCTAGTCCCAGACTAAAATGTAAATCTGAGCGGTTTGAAACTGAGAAACGTGCACTGATTGATCTTAAAATACGTCAGTGCCCTTGTTTTGTCCTAAGATGCACACCAGTGATGTTTTTTTTTTAAGGCATGTTTATAAAAATTACTTAAATGTCCTAATTGAACTATGGCCTAATCCTGGCTTAATCTAAGCCCTGTCTGTGAAACCAGGCCTAAATGATACAATGCTCATTTTCTTCTGAGTTTCAAGACTACAAACTGACAAGCTCCGATTGATTACCACTCTTCTTTGCCAGCAAACAATGAACAAAGCAAGTAAGACTTTAATAATGATCCTAAGTACAAAACTTTCAGCTAATCATGAAACACATTTTCTTAGAAATGAGCACTTCTCGTTTCACTACACTCACTCTCTCTCACACACACACACACACACACAGACACACACAGACACACACACCACAGCCCAGTAGCAGGTTATACGGAGGATGGGCGACTCTGAATGCTGCCACTGGCACTGTTCAGCTCTCACTAATGGCTCTCAAAGTAGAGGTAGTCTTGTCATTATACCCACAATACATTACAGGGCAGCTGTGTTTTCATTACCGCTCAAAACTTCATGTCCTCAGCAGTTTAAACTTAATGGCCTCCGAGTGCAGCTGCTACACATACTACACTGACGTTGGCCATCAAATAGCTGACATTAATCACCCATAATGCCTATTCCTTTCCAGATCTGCTCGACAGACCCCGGTATCCCCTCCAGCCATTAACAGAAGTCGAAGGGGCTCAACAGAAAAGCAATGTGACCGCCTCTGGTAGCACAACAACTTCCACCCCACCTGACTATAGCGAAATGTTCAGCGGTCAGACTGATTTCACGGTAAGGACAATACTAGCTGTGTTCGCCCCACCTAGTCACATTACGGGTGAAGATGGCATCAATAAACAATCATTAATTTTTGATTAGCAACGAATCCATGACTAATGACACGCCACCTCAGAAGAGCCCTCTGTGCTTATGTTTGAGATATTATCAGGCAAAATACCCAGAAAGGATCTTTGCCAAAGGCAGCAAATCTTGAAAAGGCTCTCTCAGTGGCACATAAGCAAGATAAAGTCTGTGGAAAAAGAGCGTCTGTGATTTCCCCACTGCCTTTTCCAGGCATCATGGGCTAGAATATAGATGAAACAAGCAGGGATGGGGAACAGTCACTACCCTTGTTAGTGAAGCCAAACTGGAAGCCATTTTAACGTGCTGTGTTTGTGTAAAGGGGCCGACGCATCTGGGCTCGCTGGAGCAGAAGCTGCTGTGGGTGATAGGTAAAGCATACCCCCTGCACCCACAACCAAATGACCAGGCGGATATGGGCGAGGAGATGACCTTTGACCTGCTTCAAACTGAAAGGTGGCCGGTTACAACAGAGATCATCCATAGAAAGTTTAAACGGTCAAGTTCACAGTCTGGAGAAGCTGATGAATCTGTAAACGACACCTGTGAAATTCAGCAGTTGGATAAAAATTTAATTACAAATGGCGAATAATATATACACTCAAAATAACAATAAATGATACTGTATGCATAATTCTGTAAACGACACCTGTGAAATTCAGCAGCTGTTGGATAATAATTAAAACAGGAACGGCAAACAATTTATGCACTCCAAAAAATATATAAAGCAATAAATAATTTATAAGTAATACTTTGTATGCATGTGATATAAATATGATTATACACACACACAAACACAACACAAAAATAAACAAACAAACAAACAAACACACACTTAGTTCTGTGGAAGCTGCACTTTATTTGAAAATCACCCAAATTCTGCTTAAATTTTTTTTTTGTCATATAAACAAAATATAATCTGCAGGGATGATGCAGTAAATGCGCTAAATCAATGGATAGAATCGCCCTCATATTCGGACCACCTTTTGTGTACTTCCCTATTGGACTGGGCCTGTTTTATGTACACGGGCACTGATCAACAGCGTCCCCTTTCTTCACTCCACTGGACCTACAGCTAGACACTACCGACCCCATCCCGATACCGACAGCAACCTGCGTTTCTCGCTCACATTCACACACTCGCACCCACAAACACATACACAACACACAACTGTTCTCCTCCCGGATGGCCCGAAAACGAAGGCGACTCTGCACATTCAGGTTGAAAAGGCAGCCATATAACTGTCAAATGTAAAATAATGACATGCCAAGCAGAAAGCAATACAGATCTTCCCCAAATGCAATGTCGCTGAATCACAAATGTAGTGCTTTGCTAAATGCTCCCTCACGAAAACCCACCCACCTCCCCGGGGCACAGAACTGACTATGTGGCATAATGATTTGTATATTTGATCCTATGTCCGTTACGTATGGAGGGCGGTGAGCGTTTGAGCTACAAAGAAATTGCACTAGATGTACAACAGCTTCTGAGAATACTTAGTGCTGTATCAGTCAGTTTATAGGTGTCCATTTCCCCCCTTTTTTATATTATATATATATTTTTTCATAATTCAGTCACTCAAAATCTGAATTATACAACCAATCATACCCATATGAACGCATAATTCGAAACACCTCCTGTAAGGAAGAGTTCAAAAGAAAAAAAAAAAAAGATGATTAATTTCTTTCATGTCCTCAGTGGGTAAATCATAAATAAATACAGATAATACACAAGGAATGTCTACTGCAAACGTCATAAAGTAGAAATCATAGTAGAAACCGATGTTAGAATTTCTAATTGGTGATGGTTAAATCAGGTAATGCTTGATTGGTGATCGGATAAAGACAGAACTCCACCCAAATCCCTCCCTGATCCCTCTTTTCGCATTCCATGTAAAAAAGTGAAGCCGTGTTTGAGTGAAAACCCACCACATTCCGGCACTCGCGCTCTCTCAACACCCATGTGTTTCGTTATAGACCGTACAATAACTTTTACCGCGACAAATTACAAAATGAGCGCTGTGTCCTCCATCTCTGGGCAACAGAGTCTTACCCCTCCCAACCCCACCCAACGTATCCC